TAGCGATGGCCTCCAACCTACTAGTAATTGCCTCCAACCTAATAGCGATGGCCTCCAACCTAATAGCAATAGTCTACTATGGGCGCTATCGCTGTTCTTTACTTAATATGTGCTTCCACTGTGTTTCCGCCTCTAAGGTGGGGCCTTGTCTACTGGATGGCTGCCGAGGTGAGTTAGTAACTCACGAGTCTTCAAACAAGTGAACAGGCCAAGTCACAAACGCCAAAGGTTGAGAAATTGGTTACTATTAATTTGTTAAGAAAGTTGAGGTGCATTGGCTCTTTTGGGCATATTTCCTGGAATTTCGGGGCGTGTCCTCTTTGCGACCCATCGTTTGGCAAGTCCGAAGCCTCAGCGATGACAAAACCGTTCCTCTTTGTTGAGGATTTCAAGAGGAAGAACAAGAACAGTTTGTTTGTTTGAATGTTTTTAAAATGTTTCCGTTGAAGTGTTTCCAAGTAGAAACACGATGAAGCGAGGGGCACTAACACCAAGACTGCCAAGACTCCCAAGACCTCTTGCTTTCAGTTTTTACTCCCAATCTTGCAACAAGAGAATTGCAGAATTTTTCATGAACGGGTTTGGCCGTTCAGCATGAGTCGCTGTCTAGGCCAGTTGGGTTTTCCTCGGAGTTCAGCTGAATTTGCTGCGGGAGTTGTGGCGCGCTATGAGAAAGGAAAAAGGAGGACCCAGTGTGCTGGAGACGAAGAGAATCGAAGAGAGAAAGAAAACGAAAAAGGAATGGTGAAGTGACGTGTCTGAAACTACTATAGCAACAAGTGCATCGAAATAGTAGTTTCTTGCTAGTAGTAATGCCCTTGTTACTAGTAGCGATTCACTGTGGGACTGAAGCGAAGGTGTCACCGAAGGTGTCACCCATTTCGCATCGTTTCGAATCGATTCTACGAGTCTGAGGGTCGTACTGAAGCGTCGGCATAGTTCCCCTTTCTCTTTGTGTTTGTCGGTATCCTTCGATGCGTTCTTTCAGTTATCATGTTTTCTATTTTCATTCTATTCACTTCATGGGACTTTCTCTGTTTGAAGTCTTCTCCTTTAGGGTGACGTCAGTGACCGAGGCTGGTTTTGCGCTGAAGGCTTCGAAGGAAGGGCCACAAAGACTTGCGCCCACGACGTTTCCCGCGCCACGACCGCCAGGTGCGTCGAGATCGTCAGAGTCGATATGTGTTTAAAAAGAATTTATGTTTAATGTTATGGTTTATTTTGATTGTTTTTTTTACTTTTTTTTGGTGTTTACATGTTCGTTCTTGTATGTCGTTACCCATTGGAGTCGCCTCACATCGCCAGGCTCTCAGGTTGCAAGCCGATTCTTCGGCCTTGTCACCTTCCTGACTTGGACTGCAGGCGACGATGTTTTTTTTTTGACAAATTTGCAAAAAATATGCGTTTACATATATATATATAGATATTGTTATTTCTTCAATATGTGTTTTATCCATTTTCCAAAGCAAAGGCTGCGCATGGAAGAGCGAGAAAGGTGTTTCACAACAGACAACTTGACCTTGCCACAAGAGAGCATTTGTTTCATGCGACAGTCATGTCTACCTTTCTATGGGGAGCTGGAGCGTGACCGCCATTCTCCAAGAAAGAGCAAGGACAGTTTGACAAAGCATTGGGAGAACTTTACGAGCTGATCCTGCCAAGACTACAAGGAAAAAAGTATGCTTGGCGAAAGATTCGAATTGCCTTGCAATGTGCAGGTTCACCCCGGAAGTGACTTGGAGGATGGTGCAATTGGATCAGCCGACCATGACCATGTCCATGTACAATTCAGGGACGAAAATGTGCTCGGCCCACAGCTGGGAAGCGTGGAAACAAAGCGCGCGCAATTCATCACAGTGGGGACGACTTGCTAAGAAATCATACAAAGATACACCGCATTCCAGTTGAGAAAAGATGCAGTAGAAGAATGGCATGCCAGAATTTTCGTGGACTTGGTCCATATTATTTAAACACTGGCAATAACTTCACGAGGAACACAACATAAGGACATGCTCGTACAGTCTGCGAAAGATGCTTTGAGACTCCGCAAGGGTGGTTTTTGCATGCCTATGGCAAGCACGACTACAGGTCTATGGAGGGAGAATCAAGTGGTTCAGGGCTCGTACTTCTACTGTTGTGACAAGCAACACAGGACCATGGAAGCGTTGCGCATGCATCTTAAATACAGTTCAGGATGCTGCGCATATTTCTCGGCTTTGAAAGAGGCTGCAATTGAAGTCGACGGCGCGATGCGAACAGATGCCATGAAAGGGATTGGGACAGGAAAAGGAGCTTGCGGAATGTCCCGTTGACCGTGATGCACAAAAGCTCCAACAACGACTTGAGACTTGTCTCCAAGATCTCTGCCCAATGAGGCAGCTATTCTGCCGAGAGCTGACGCTCCATCTCAAGGAACAATGCAGAATTGTTTTGCCATATTGAGACAGAATTCTCAAGGTCTTTCAAATGTGAGCTATCCAGGATCGACTCCTGCCTCAGGGGATCATTGCTCTTCACCTTTTCAGCGGGCGGAGGAAGCCCTGCGATCTTAGGGCAGCGCCGGAACCCATTGAGATGCCGGACGGATGTTGCACAACCGTTGCCTCAATTGACATAGTGGTGAACGCCGACCACGGGAATTTGAGGGATCGTTTGCAGCCGGAAAAGTGGCTGACAGCAATCCGTTCTGGAATAGCTGGAATCTACGGAGGCGCTCCTTGCGGGACAGTGAGAACAACTTTCCGAGGCCGCTTCGTCAAGGCTCATGTCCTTGGAGAAGATTAGACATATCCATCCAGAAAACAAGTTGCTGCAGGCACGTTCATGGGTTTTCCCTCGAGCGTACAGTGGCCCAAGCGCGACAAGGTGGCTTAAAGCAGTAGTTGAGTGCCCGATGATCCTGAGACCATGGGACTCGACATCGCGATACTCCGAGCATCTGGCGCACGGCCATCCTCAAGTGGATTCGGGAGACAGAAATATATATATTTAATGGGCATTTTCGGGGTGCAAAAGGCTCATCATTGGGTTGCGCAATGGATCGCGAAAGACAGCAAAGCTGAAGGAGTACCCTGACAAGCTTTGTCAGTAATAGCACTTAGCTTCACATTTGAAGGTGTGGCTCCGAAAACGGAGTGATTGGGTGAACACGCCGCCGCCCATGAGCTGGATCTGAGAGCTCCATGTCAAAGACACGTCGTTGGAAGCACAGGCTCCAGACTATATAATTCGTGAATTCGCGCAATACGCCGAGTTCCTCGTCGAGCGCCAGGCGTGACGTGAAATGAAACGAAAGGATAGTTTTTGTATAAGCTGATTTTCTTTTTTAAGGGGAGTAGGCTGCCAGTAGAGGTGAGCTAGTACTAGCTAGTAGCAAGGTCGCTACTGTGATATGTAGGACGCAGGATAGCTCACGCTTCTTCCGGGAAGCCTCCCCTGCCCTTTGGCTCGCGCTTTGGTTTCAAATCTCTTACGCGCGGCTAATTCGTTGCTATTTACAGTACATTCATGCCTCTCGAAGTCCTCGAAGTGCATTTCGACTGCACAGGCTCGCAGAATCTGGTTGGGCGCGGAGGGTGCCTTTGTAGCGACTGCGCTCTCGTCCGTGGCAGGCACAGCACTTGAACCTCGAAGTGCAGATTTCGCGGCATACTACTGTGTGAACCTCGATGTGCAGATTTCGTGGCAGGCACAGCGCATGCATGGTGAACCTCGAAGCGCAGATTTCGTGGCAGGCACAGCACTTGGTGAACCTCGAAGCGCAGATTTCGTGGCAGGCCCACTACTTTGCGCTCTCAGATGCACGCTCTCTCACTCTCCCACTCTCGCTCGCTCTCACTCACACTCGCTCACTCTCACTCCCTCTCACTCTCACCCACACTCACCCACCTTCACTCACACTCACACTCACACTCGCTCTCACTCAGTCACTCTCACTCTCACTCTTACTCTCACTCTCACTCTCGCTCACGCTCACGCTCGCTCACTCTCACCCAGTCACTCTCACTCTCACTCTCACACTCACTCTCACTGACTCTCCCACTCTCACTCTCACTCTCACTCACACTCACACTCCCTCTCACACAACCACCTTCACTTCATCACCAGCACCACCTCTCTGGTCCCCAACGCGTCTAGATCCCTTTAGGCTTTCTGCTTACAGACCTCACGCGCGCACTGTTTGGGGTCTCTTGCCGGGGTAATTTTTAACAAATGTATTCTTTGACTTACGTTGACGCATGTAACAAAAGACACACAATCAAACAAACTCTCTGTAGCTCTGATTGTTCAGGTACGACCTGTCCAACTGTAGCATTCTGCCGGGGGAATCTTGCGAAGCGCCAAAGCTCAGTCAGTTTGTTGCGTCTCGCGTCTCAAGCGTAACAGTCAACACGCATCCTCTTTGGACTCACATGGATGGGATTGCTTGCGCTTTGCGTGTTTTGTCTACGTCGTTTGTGTTATTTATGTCTAGTGCATGAGCTGTCGTCACATGACTCATGAGTGCGCGTGTGTGACTTTGATCGACTCTGTCGACTTCTGAGGTGAGATGTTCCCCTCCCTTTGCTGGCAAGCCAAAGACTGCACTGTGTCCGGCTGGAAATGTGTCAGAGGAGACGCAGCGCAAGCGACGTCAAACCGTTCATGTAGAAATTAAATGCACACTCTGGCCGGTGATTTTAAGAAAGAGAAACTGTTAACCGAATTGCGCCCAGTTTGGTGGGGCAAAGAACCTGGTACAATTTGAGTAGGCTACTTTCAGAAATATTTTTTTCACGGGAGCGTTGCGAAGGGTTCTTCTGTAGAAGTCTTTTGCGTAACGTATCTGCAACAATATCTTTCTGGCTTTAGTTTTTCCAATCTTATAGCGCTGCGTTGGTATTTACGCTACAAGCTACATCTGCAGGTTGCGCGCGTGGTTTTCTACCTTTAGGACGGTTTCTACTTGTACTACTTTCAGTAACTTATACGACTTAGAACTACTTAAAACCTACTTATGTTAATTTATTTTACAATCAAACAGGAAACTTTAAATAAATAAGTAATCTATAATTAGATATAAGTAGAACTAAGTAGAACCAGTGTAAAAAACAATGTGTTTATACCAATACTTTATGAAAACAATGGTTCAAAAGAAGAAGGTCACATGTCCAGAATGATAAAACAGCGGACGCACCGCTCCAACCAAAACAACCATGAGCGCACCCTTTTTGAGCGTGTGTAGAGAACATTTTGTTTCCAGCAGTTTTTTGCTCTGTAGGAGGTATAACTTTGCTTCCAGCGGTTGACCGCTTTAGGAGGTTCAATGTTCCTTCTAGCATCTTACACCTCATTCTATCGATCCACGGTTATCTATGGCTATCTTTCGGATATCTTTCGGAGATCGTTGAAAAATATTTTCACTTTAATATGGATATCTACGGATGTCGTTGGATATCGTTCCAAGTCATAGAATTTCCTTAGCAGATATCTACGGATATCGTTGGATATCGTTAATCATTTTTCACGATGCTACTTAACCTTAAAACCCTACTTAGCCAACTTATGGCCGCACTATAACTAGGTTGTAAGTAGGCTAAGTAGGAACCGTCCAAAAGGTACCAGACATGTGGGGCTTAACTGCATTGGTATGTACACCGTAAGTTCATCCACACCCTGCACACCTGGTCCAGAAGCCTTTGAAAATACAGTTGCAACGTTACAGCTGCAGTTGTATGTATACTACAATAGAAGTACATCTGCTGCTTGCAGGTATGGTTGTGTAGAGCTGCTGCTACCCTAGCATTGCTTTGGTGCTGGGGTCTTGCTTTGTTGAGTTGCTTTGGCGCTGGGACCTAGCTTGGGTGGATTGCTCTGGCGCTGGGACCTTGCTGGGACAACTTTCGCTGGGATGTTGCTTCATTAAGTAAAGTCACATGATGTCATGCGCAAAGTCAGGGAATGGTGTTTTTTGCAACAGTAATCAGGGTATTTCCAGACAGTTATGTAGATCGGTGTTTTTTCGACCAGTCACAGGTGTTTTTTGCTACGGTGACTAGGTTCGGTGTTTTTTTGCACCAGTAGTCTGGTGTTTTTTGCGACGATTCCTCCTGGTTGCTGTTTTTTGCAATGGTTCCCCGTGTGTAGATAGAGAGCTGAATCGGCCAGTGGCCCGACCGTCGTTGCGTGTATGTATGTATGTATGTATATATGTATGTATCTATGTACGTATCTATGTGTGTATGCATGTATGTATGTGTGTGTGTCTATGTGTGTCTGCATGTATGGCTGTATGTTTGCATGTATGTATCTATGTATGTGTGTATGTATGTATCTATCTATCTATGTATGCATGCATGATTTGCCATAAAAAAGCGGGAGGGGGTGCAGGGGAGGGCGCAGCGCCTCCCCCGCGGCAAACAAGGTGGAAGAAGCGTGGTCGAGCGCGTATCATCTTGTATCTATGTGTCTTCGCCTGATCTTGCTGCGTGTCCAAGGATGTATGCATGTATGTATGTATGTGTGTATGTATGTGTGTGTATGTCTGTGGGCCACATGCATGCATGATATGACATAAACTAGACGACGAGTGGCCCGAAAGCATTTTTCATCACGTAGGAAGTCAGAGTGCGAGTTATCTGTTAAGTGTGCAGTGTGAAGTGTTAATTCGAGTGAGTTGAGGTAGTGTGTGGGTTTCTGTGCGTGTATCTATGTCCGTCTGTATATGAGTCTGCGTATGTGTGTGTGTGTTCGTGTACTACAGTCTCCAGCTCCCAGCTACTCCGCGTACTACAGTTGTACTACAAAGTCGCCAGTGCTCATCTTCCAGCTCCCCAAATACTCCGCGTACTCAAGCTGTACTACCAAGTCGCCAGTTCTCATCTGATCACTCGCCAGCTACTCCGCGTACTACAGTTGTACTACCAAGTCGCCAGTTCTCATCTTCCAGCTCCCCAGCTACTCCGCGTACTACAGTTGTACTACAAAGTCGCCAGTTCTCAGCTTCCAGCTCCACAGATTGCTCCGCGCGCTAAAGTTGTACTACAAAGTCGCCAGCTTTCTCAGCTTCCAGCTCCACAGATTGCTCCGCGTACTCCAGTTGCACTACAAAGTCGCCAGTTCACAGCTTCCAGCTCCCCAGCTACTCCGCGTACTACAATTGTACTACAACGTCGCCAGTTCTCATCTTCCAGCTCCCCAACTAGTCCGCGTACTGAAGTTGTACTACAAAGTCACCAGTTCTCATCTTCCACCTCGCCAGATACTCCGCGTACTAAAGTTGTACTACAAAGTCGCCACTCCTCATCTTCCCACTCCCCAGCTACTCCGCGCACTAACGTTGTACTACCAAGTCGCCAGTTCTCATCTTCCAGCTCCCCAGCTACTCCGCGTACTAAAGTTGTACTACGAAGTCGCCAGTTACTCCGCGTACTAAAGTTGTACTACGAAGTCGCCAGTTTTCTCAGCTTCCAGCTCCACAGATTGCTCCGCGTACTAAAGTTGTACTAGAAAGGCACAATCTCCGCAGAGCTTTGCGCGCGCACAGATTACATCGCACTCTCGCCTGCATCTCGCGCACTCGACGCGCACGATCTCCGCAGAGGGTTGCGCGCGCGCGCCGCACCAATCGCACTCTCGCCTGCATTTCGTGCACTGTGTATAGCCGTCGCCGAAAATGGAGGCGTGTTGCCAAAGTGCGTATATCTGTTGCCGAAAACGACCGTGCAGGTGCAGAGCGCACTGTTGCCGAAAACGTCGCCGAAAACGAAGGTGGAGGTTGCCACAGTGTGTATAACTGTGACCGAAAACGGAGGTGGAGGTTGCCAAATCGTGCTAAAAACGAAGGCGGAGGTTGCCAAAGTGTGTAACTGTCGCTGAAAGCGAGGGAGCAGGTTCCAGGAGGTTCATGAGAACTGTTCAAATCTGTGCACTTGGTAGTCCAAATATTGCGTGGGAAGGAGCGTGGCACGGTGGAATGTGCATGTGCGCGAGCCCGTGCCATTGGGGGAAGGGAAAGACGCTGGTGTAAATTCGGCGCGTCGCTGGGGAGCGGGATGATCGGCGGCGCCGACGAAGCTTAGTTTTACATTGTCGTATCTAGTCTGCTGCGCATTCCGGATGTGATGTCGCATGCGGTTTTGTGCGACCACGACGGATTTTGCGTTAGTGTGAGTCCGCGCCATTTTGAGAAGGGAAGCGCGTACGCTGGTGTAAATTCGGCGTGTCGCTGTAGGGAGCGGGATGATTGGCGTTGTCGGCGGCGTCCACGATCTCAGCTTACTATACATCAACTCTAGAAACGCGCTTGTCGCGAAAGGTATACCTCGGCTACCTGAGTTCTCTTTGCTTCAGTAAAATGATGGGGTGGTGGGATCTTCTTGCGTGTGATTTCGAGTGTTAATTCTTTCAATGTCCGGGGGGGCCCTTCGACTCCACCCTGCGCCGCTCAGAATTTAGAAGTGATCTGGCTTATCGACTGCGGTCTATTGTGGTCTATTGCTGGTTGCTGGTTGCCACTAGTTGCTGCTGCTGGTTGCTGGTGTTGCTGCTGCTGCTGCTGCTGCTGATCTTGCTAGTTGCTGCTGCAGTTGCTTGAACCCTGAAGCCGCTGCTGCTGCTCGTTGCTTTGCTGTGCTGCAGCTGCTGCTTGCCACATGCTGCTGCTGCTTTCTGCTTTGCTGTGCTGCTGCTGCTGCTGCTGCTTGATGCTTTGCTGCGCTGCAGCTGCTGTTTTGCTGTTGCTGCCGCTGCTGCCACTGCTGCCGCTGCCGCCGCCGCTGCTGCTGCTCGTCTGGTTTGCTGCTGCTGCCGCTGGCTGCTAGCAGGGAATCTTCCAACCTCTACCTTTCGTCCACCTCCGTCGCTGCAAGTATAGTATGTTGTAGCATACAGGCAAATTTACACAGCTATAAAGTTCGCAGATGCATTTATACATATCTGTTACTTCTACACGCCATCCGTCGTCTAATTGTAGAGCAGAGGAGGCGCAAAATTCTAGAAACTAGGGTTTCCCAAGACCTTGGCAAAGCAAAGAAACCACCGCATCCAATAATCATTGTCCAGAAAAAGATGAGGCAAACTATAGCAAACTACAGCGCCCAAACATTTAGTGGAGCAAAGAAGGAACGAGCATTCATTCATTCACAACTGCTCCAACAAATTGCGGCGCAAAGAAGGCTACAAATTCCAACAACTACTGCTCCCAAAAAGAATGGTGCAAAGAAATCGTCTCAAATGAAACTGTTGCTCCCAAAAAACGTTACTCAAGCAAAAGGGCATCCATTCAACAACCTACTGTTCCACAACGATTGGTGAAACGACGCGACACACCGCCACATTGACAGGTTTGCTGCTCCACTTAGACTTATGCGGCAACAAAGCGAAGAAGGCGCCGCATTCAAAAACTACATTTCCAGGACACAGTGACGTGATGAAGGCGCTGCGCGCAATAAAGTACTGCCTCTAGAAAAAGCGGCGCAGCAAAGAAAGCACCAAGTTCCAAAAACTTTGAACGAAGAAGCGCCCCCTTTTTAATGAACTATTGGTCCCATTTTCCCTTTTGGAAGCGCAAAGCGAAGGCGCCACGCTCAACTTCTCCTGCTCAAAAATAGGATGAAGCGCAGAAAGCGCAAACTTTAGCAGGCCGCTCTTCAATAAAGGTGGCGGCGCAAAGAAAGCGCTAAATTCAATAGATTATCGTTTCAATTAAGAAGCGCCCCTTTTGATGGACTCCCGCTCCGGTCTTCCGTTTTAGAAACAAAGCGAAGGCGCCGCAGTCAGTTTCTACTGGCCAAAAACAGGATGGTACACAGAAAGCGCAAACGTCAATGAATTAACGGTGGCGACGGGCTTTCAGCGAGACGGGTTCTTTTTGCCCTCCAGAGGCAATCACCGCACAAACGGGCGCGGTGCTCTTTTGATACAATGTCCCGAGCGCATACCTCGTTCTTATCAGAACCGCCGAAAAGGGTCTCATCCTCTGGACGCGCAGCGCTGCAAGACAGGTACAGGAGCTGCTCTTGCGAGCCAGCCCACTGTCATCTGCAGACTCGCCACCCAGCCCCAAGTCTTGGACATTTGAAAGTTCAAATTGTTCTTTTTTCGAACATTAAGATTGAACAATTTGGGTAAATTAATTGCAGAATTTTCCGGTGTATGACCTAATCAAATTTAGGTTGCAACTCGCAACCTATTTTTCGTGACGCGTTAGTCAATGATAGAAATTTGAACGCATCCCATTTCCTTGAGGCTTTACTTGAGTGTACCAGAGCAATTGCCGAGCATTTTGCTTGAGCGTGGAGCATTTTCTGGAGCGGTTCAAGTCTAGTGGTTCCCACTGCACTGAAAGAAGGAAGGAAGGAAGGAAGGAAGGAGTAGACAGCTGTGATAAAATCTAACAACCCTCACTTGGCAGGTGGGGAAAAGCACCTTTTCACAAAAACATGCTGCGCTGTGACGCGCTACAGCTGTTTTCTTGTGTGGCCATGGCGGATGATTCCTCACACTCCAAGCGTCACATCTTTCAGTTCCCAAGTTCGGCACGGTTCGGGAGAAGGATCATAAAGGATTCACTTTAACCCTTTTAGGCCATGTGTGAAAGAAAATGATTCGCATTGATGTTCGCGTCCAAAGTTCCTACTGCAAGTTGACTGACACTTCCAATGGCAACGGGAAGCCTGATGAGGGACTGCTTTTGGGAAAGACCTTGTGCGACGCAACCAGGACTTGCTCCTTACGTTGCCTTATTGCGACCTGGAGGCAAGAATGCGCGCGGCACAGTGCACCGCAGCATCGCCTGTTGCGCACCGCAGTGGGCAGAGCTGTGCAACTTGAGTCTTGCTGTAGATTTACTTCGCTATAAGCAGTTGAGATTCTTGCAGGGCTGCCCAGATCCTGATCCGATTCCACCCGGTTACAAGAGAGTTGGAGAAAGTTTCACATGCGTGGATGGTTTCGTTGAGAACTCGGATTTGACGTTGAGATGATTTCTTTACCACTTCAGATTTGCAACCTAAACTCATAGAACTACGGTTTTTTCACTGTGGGTTCTTGTTCCCCAAACAGTGTGTCCACTCTAGGGTTTCTCCAGGTAGTAGTTAAGGACGGGCGTTGGATTGAGGTGTTCGCGGCCGGGTCCGGCTAATTCGGTGCTATTTACTTTCGATTGCACCGGCTCGCAGAGTCTGCTGGGCGCGAGCGGATGCTCTGCGGGGCTGCGCTCTCGTTGTTGTGCCGCGCGCGTTTTCGACTTGGCGATCTTTTCGCGGCAGGCCCTTTATCTTTAAAGCCCCTGGACTTGCGAGCCACCCAGGAATCTGCCGATCTACAGGCGCACTCAAAATGCAAATCGCGCAGGCCATCCTACTAGCCTTCGCGTGATGTGAATCTTGACGCGCAGATTTCGTGGCGGGCGCACTACTTTGTAGACCTTGAAGCGCAGAACCCATCACCACCATCACCCCCCATCACTGCCATCATCATCACCACCACCACCACCATCACCATCACCACCTTCATCACCATTATTACCTTTCCCTGGATAAACACACTGTTTGGGGTCCGCCCGGATATTTTTTTGACCCTTTTCGAACGTCTCGGGTTCCTCTCTGACTCAGGTTGGGCAGGCTATCACGCAGTGTCGCCGGGAACCGGAAGACATGAGACAGGAGAGACATGGAGAGACGGAGAGAGGTAGGACAAGAGAAGGAAAACGGACCCCAAAAAGAAACAGATAAAAACAGAAAGGAGGAGGGGAGAAAGGGAAAAATAGAAACAGGAAAGGATTGAAGCAACACCAAGTTTTGGAAGAATGTTGGGTGAAACGAGTGGAAAAGACGAAAAATGTAAAGCGATGTAAAGAGTCTGCTCACGCTGCAAAGAGTGAGGTGAATCCGCAGCCTGCAAGTACACCCTGTCCTTGAGCGGTGCGCTTTGAAGTGCAACTTTAAGACCGGAAGGAACTTCGTAAAGAAGGGTCTTCTCAAAGAGTGTTTTTCTATGTTTTTCTTGTTTCTATCTCCCGTCCCTTCTCATCCACTCGAATCCACTAGTTCTCTCCATCCCATTCCAAACAGGGGACGCAGCGAGACTCCGAAGAGACGGACATAGGGAAACGAAGTGAAATGCTAGCCCTACAATGGAGCACAGGGATCTCACTTCGAACGCGGTAGGACTTGCAGTTCCATTGCGAGGGAGTGTCAGGATCAGAGGTTGTGAAACGCAGTGGCAAGGCTGTGCCGCCCAGATCCAGTCTGGAAAGATTTGGACAGGAATCTGTCCTTGCAAAACACAACGGCAGGGCTCCGCAATTCCAAAAGCATTGATAAGCGGTGTTTTCTAGAGCAGGTATCCCCAAGTGGACAAATTCTAATGATAAGAATCCACAGTAGAGCTATCTAGAGACAAATGTTCAAAAACATAACTTTCTTGGCGAAAGTATCCAGACGTAGAGATGTTCTGCGTTTTTTTCCAAAAACAACCAAACCCACACATGCTTTGCAAAAACTTTCCAAGAGCAGCGATATCCAGTCACATGTATATGCAGATGTTCACCCATCTACATGACCCAGCTACATTTCCCCACATCACAAACCACATTACACTTCACCACACCAGGCATCATCACGTGACCCTTTGTTACCGTGTCAGAGAAGAGGACATTGAGGAACATGAACAAACTGTGAGAAGCTAGTAGCATTGGAACCAAAAGACTTTTATATCGAGAAGGCAATCAAAAAGGTGCTTCATTTTTGTGCCGCAACGCTGACTGCTTGAAACTCACAAGTTTGATTGTGTTGTTTCCAGAGTTTGCCAGGTTGCACCAACGCCACGGAGATGTTTGTGTCATTGACGCAACTTCGAGAGGCTGAAGTGGTGCGATTTGTAGGAACGGAAAGAGGTGGAGATATGGAACCTCCTTTTAATACAAGAAACTGTGAATCGATTTACACAAGAGATATTTGATGGGTATAGCAAGTGAGAAGATGATGTAACAACATGAGCTTAGCACTCTTCAAATTACAATAGCACAAGTCTATTGATAGTGACATTGACATATCATTGACATATATAAATGATGAAGGAAGTAAGGACTGCTGTAAGTACGAAAGCCAGGCGAAGGCTAGGCTGAAGGTTTGTATAGCGAACGAAGTGAGATTGGGGGTGTGGAAGGGGTGGAAGGGTGAACCCAGAGCCTGCTGGGGGAGAGCAAAAAATGCCGCGGTCGAATTATACCCTTACCACCGCCTTTGTGACGCGAGCATTCCCGCAACAGTTAAGGTTGGGTTTTGCATCCATTGGTGTGACATAAATTTTAACTTAGCGCGTGCCGTGTATGTTAGTAGGGTCAAGCCATGCGGGAAAGAAGCTAAAGCATGGTGAATAGCTACGTTTCGCAACGGAGCTTGATGGGAAAGCAGCGTGAAATACAATGTTCTTGAACGCGGAAGTTGGTGAAGCTGCATCAATAGCTGAGGCCAGAAAGATACTCTTGAAAAAGTGCTCTAGCACCAAGTTCCCCTCAGAAAAGACCTTAAGGAAGAGTTTGTGTTGGCGCCCTTTTGCGCTTTGTTTGAAGGCCGTCTGAGGGGTCAAAACGGGCACCAACGAAAAGCAGGATCTAGCAATGAGATCCTTGACAAAACAAAGCACGACAGATCCATCTTCAGGCTGTTTAAATAAAACCCGCGAGCCGTTGCTCGAGATGAATTGAGGATGCAGGTGAGGAAAGAGGCTGCGAACAATAGAGATCTAGATGCAGAGTGTCGAAGGAACGCCTTTTAGCCGCATTTCTAGGTTGGTGCCCTTTTGCGCTTTGTTTGAAGACCATCCCGGGGCAAAACAAGGTGAGCCCGAGAACCCAAAAGCAAAACAGGAGCACGCTGTTTTTTTCTGAGCGGTTGGTGAAGCCTGCATGCGGGCGCCGGCGCGGGAGTACCAAGCAGAACGTCCACGCCAGGAAGCAGCAAGAAAGCTGAAAATATCAAAAGGGAAAGAAACCCAACATAAATGAAGTGAAGTGAATATGAAGGTTAATTACTATGAGGAAAAGAGAATAATCTCGCAGCCAGACATGTTTTGCATCGTTGTTCGCAAGTTGAGGGTCCAGTTTGTTAGTTAGTGTTTCCTGTTTTTTGCGGGTGCACACTGTCTCAAACTCATGTAGAACTCGCCCGACCGTGCACTTGATCTTGCAAACCATTTTTGTTTCATGCCATGTGTTCGTGATGGGTCGTTTGAAGTTTGAGGGGTGGGAAATTGCCACATAAATTCAAATTTATGTGGTAGGAAGAGTTTGTCCTGATATTGTTTTAGAACTTAATTTTTGTGTTCCTGGCTGTTGGTGTTCCAAAAGGGTTTGTGAAATCAATAGAAATCTTGAGTTTGGCCAGCTCTGGTTTCAAATGTATTCTACTAGAGCCTTGAGATCAATATAACGTTGTTAAAAGTTTGATTGTAATCAATATCGGATGTTCAGGAGCATGTCTTATTTGTCTTGAACTTTCCGCTTTCTTAAACTAATCCAGCACATTTCCAGAGTTTCAGGAAATTCTTCCACTACGTGTTCTCTCAGCCGCAAGGCGTCCACAGTGATTCCTAGTACCCTGATCCTCTTGGAAAAACAACCAGAACATACCAGAACCCAAGCATCAGAGATGCTTTTGGGAAAAGACCGCTTTAGCTATAAGACGCACCAAGCAGGGCGTGGCAGATCCATCTCAGAGCAGTTTAAAGGAACTTGCGCGCAAAGTTTGTATTTTGGGGGGGTGTTGCGGTTTGCTGGTAGGTGGCCATGGGAGTCTCGCCGCGTTTGCGCGCTTCATCAGCGTTTTCCCTTCTTTCTTTTTCTCAGACATTTTCCTGTTTCTTTTAACGATTGCCTTTATTCCTTGAACGCTCTTTTGGACACGTGCTGCTCAAGCCGGAAAACTCGTAGAGTTCCACATCTTGGGAATTGTTGCTCACCCTTGCTCTCCCGTCTTGTGTCAACCACAAAATCTGTTGAAAAAACGCATGTTCGAAAAAACAAAATGGTTTTCTTCGTGACGTGATGTTCGAACGGAGGTTCTTTCTGACTGTTTTTCTCGCATCCTTCGTTTTTTTTTGCCATGTTTGGATGTTTTAGATGGTTGCTTTTTGAACATTTCCTGTTTACTGTTTTGTTAGTTTTTCCATGTTTTCCTTTTGCAGGTTGTTGTTTGATTGTCCTTTCTTTTGACGTGTTTTTATGCGTTCTTCAGACCGTGTTTGTCTCTTTGACCCGTTGAAAGGCATGCTTGTGTTCTTGGACCATTTGTTGAGGCCTTTTCTATGCCTTTTTTCAGACATGTTCTTTTAATTGTCTTTATATAGATGCATCGTTAAAGCTGTTTTTGACCTTGCTTCCCCTTTCACATGTGTTCTTTTGACCCTGTGTTCTTGTAGCGCTTGAGTCTTATGGTGCTCGAATTTGTTTTGGCGAGAGTTCGCAAAAGCGTAGCGCATGGCGCCGCTCATGGCGCCAGGCCCCTGCTCAACGAGACTTCTCACTGTGCCCAACAGCAGAGGCGCGCAGTTTGCCCAGAGAACGAACATGCAAAGAACATATTAATCATGGTGCTTCATCACACGTCGTGGCCCGTGTGTTGTACATTGCTGAGCTGTGTGGGTGTGTTGGTGCTTTTTGTTGGCCCATGCCCTTCCGAAGGCTTGCGGAGAACCAAATGAAATCCCCGAAGGTTACGACAAGGCGAGGTAAGAACGATGAAGGAGTGTGAAACACGGTGAAGGGTAAGTTTAGCTACAACACGCTACAACCAACTTCAGGGAACCTCTGAGCAATTTTCAATGCTGTGAGCCGAACCACAAGGTGTCAGGGTTTTCAATGAAGTCCAACGGATGTCCTTCTGAGCAAACATTTCAGCAAATTTGAACATTTCTGGTTTCATGACATGCTTGCGTAGTTCTTGGGCGAATGGCGCTGTGGTGCCGGCTACGCAGGAGCCGCGGACAGGGCGGTTCCATATTGCAGTGCTTTCTGCGTGATTATGTTGGCGCCACAACGCGATTGGTGTTGCACGATTTCGTGTCCTTAAGTGCCGTTTGTTGTGGTTAGGTATTGTCAATAGGAACAAGAAGCTACTAGGGGCTCGTGGTCTTACTACTAGGAACAAGAAGCTATTAGGAGCTATTGTTGCAAAATGCTCTTAAGTGACGTTAATATTTTGTTGAGAAAACCACCGAGTTGAAATCCGTTGGTTCCTCGGGGATTCGGCTACTTGTGAAAGGGATTTACTCACACGGGGTGTCAAGGGAATGAACGCCTAAGTACATGTGGAAAAATCTAAACAAAAGAAAAGTATGAAGCTCCAAATCTTTTCGAAAAACTACATGTCTGAGGATAAGGACAGGAAAAATCTTTGCGCTTTCAAAGCTCCTGTGCTTCGCTTTGCGCAAGCAGATTCCAAAAGCATGTGTTCACAGGAACAGCTGCCATCGGGTGCTCTCCGCGACGGAATTGTCAGAGCACTGCAACACTCAGCGGCTGTGTGCCTTAGCATCGGCTGTTATTGGCCCAGTTTCGCTTCACAACGAAACAGCTCAGTCCAGTTTTGGACTTAGTTGCGTTTGGTGGAGGATTTTCTGTTCCTCGGTGCCGCTTTCTTCCAGGTGCCCATTGAGCCCTGCTTACCCATTATCCCTGGGCCAGAGGACTGTTACTCGACGCAAAGGAAAACGAGACATGAGACCAAGAGAAGAGGAAGGCAATAAGCCAATGAAGAGACCAAGCACTGTGAGCAAAAATGGTTCCGACTTTGCACACTTTTGAGGTCAGCTTTGTTCAACTGCATCAAAACTCTGACTTTGCGAATTGCATTCGACGTTCATATTCGGCGACTAGGTGATTTGAACGTGTCGGCCTGTCTCAACCTCGGAGCGGGTGCATGGACCATCACACCATGTCACACCTGTACGACATCGGATCGGATGTGAGACGCTTGGTGCCTTTCAAACATTGAAGCATCCTTTGTAACACATTTCTGGCGAACCACGGTTTGGAGCACTTATTGGAAGTTTGAGCGTTAATTGAGGGTATGTACACTTTTCAGGAGATATGAGCGCTTTTTGGTGTTGTAAATTCTAAAGCCTACTGGTTCCTGACCAGTGTCCTTATCAACCCTTGTGGGCCTTTGGGGGCCCTATGGACCGGGTGGAAGTCCTATATGACCTCTCTTAGTAATATGCGCAAATGAAACCACAAAGGTTTGGTTCCAACCTTCTGGGCGTGCTTTACAACAATTTGTCCAAAAAGGGTGTCCGCAACTTGGGCGCAAATTCCCGCAACCCGGGCGCAAGTTTAAAAACTTGCGAATTGTGTGTTTGTTAAATCTTTTATGTTGATACTGAAGATCAAAGAAAGGGGTTGCTGGCTGCCGCTTCGTAGTGTGTGAGCGTGTGTTGTGTGTGCGTGGGATGGATGCCAGCATGTGGCAGGGAATGGACTTGAAGACCACATGAGGTGGAATATCTGACTTTCAGTGGTACGCTTTTTCAAGGCATGAACGTTTTTTTTGATGATGTGCAGTTTTTTCTATCACTTTTTTCTGCTACGACGGAGGGTTCAGGTTTGTTTTGATGTGTTTTCTCGAAATCTAGCGAAGGGTTCCCGTTTAACTCCTTGAACGTATAGCGCGTTGCTTTCGTGTCCGCAAGCGTTGCAAGCGAACGAATGCGATCGATAAGGCCCTGCTGTTTGGGGGAAGCTTTTGTAGGTGGAAGCCTGAAGTGTCAGATCCATGTGAAATAGAGTCGAAACGTGACATGTTGAAGTGTGGGGTTCGCTGCGCGGGCGCAGCGTTCATGATGTTGTGGATGGAACACGCAGTTCAATTTGCATGTCACCTGAACATGTCACAAACCTCAGGGCACACAGCTGCCTTTTGAAGCTCAAGTCGAAGCAAGAAAAGGGGCGAGGTCCGAGCGCCATAGCACTACCAGTGACGCTTACTTAGCCAAGGTGCTTGGGGTTTGAGCAGGATTGATCAGGTTATGAGCCCAAATTGCTAGCTGCGGTCGACGTTCCAGCCAAGGCGAAGAAGACTCGCCACACCAGAAGAGCCCAGCCAAGGTCAAAGAGAGATCGAAGCTGTGAGCAAAGAGTGGAAAAGGAAGCCAAACAGAGGGGTGAGGCTGTGTGCGCCACTCCAATCCTATAGGCCTATAGGGACTTCCACCATTTCTCTTTCTAATTTATTGCGCGTCAATCGCACAAGGGGTGCCAGAGACTGTGCAAGCCTGGCGCTAACAAAGACGCTTGCGCAGTTGTGATGAATTAATTCTGAGATATCAATTCAGGACGCCGAGTTGACGTACCTGCGAGATGATCGTCGATGTGCAAATTGGGTGTGGTTTTCCATTTCTGACGAACATTTCTGGGGCTTCGGGTCTTAGTTGCTAGGTCGTAAGGTGTTAATGCACTCTTGGAGCCAACCAGAATCGTGCTCTTACGGACTCTTTTTCGAATGCGGTTCGTGGGTTCCATCTTGTTGTTTTAATAGCCCGCACTTTTCACTTGTGCAGGCACCTACTTCATCAAGTAAGGGCTAAGTTAGATCCTAGGTAGGCCGCAGAGTGCTCACGTTTCTTCAAAGAAGCTCCCCCTTGTACTAATCACTGGCCTTTTGGTTCCTAGTTTTTTGGAAACTTTGGTTTTCGTCCCAATTCATTGTTCAATTTACCCATAGTGAAAAATTATAACCCGGAAAATATGTGTTTTATTTAGACAATGTGTTCGTTGAAAATGTTTTTGCGTTTTTGTCGCTTGACCTGTTTTCTTGTTTTTTGCCGTTCAACTCATATCACCCATCGGCCCAGATGCGTTTAAGGGTTTGGAGAAGTGTGGGTCGAAAACGGTTGGCGCAAATGCTGCGCTGCTACATGCCCTGGTGAGGCAAGCATGGTCTAGAAACATGTTCAGTTCGTGGGTGCTCGCACATTTGGTTTCTTTATTACCACGAAACAACTGTTCACTGTCACACCTGAAAACAACACGACATAGAAAATGTTTGCACCTCAGCCAAACACAAGGTGCCGAAATGGCGTCCAGTTCACTCAGCAAAGCCGAGGTCAAAGCGTTTTGGGTGGAGAGAGTTGCGAAATCAGTTGCAAGGACCCACAATTGAACTTCGATCCATGCAACAAAACAACTTAAATGAGGATGTTGTGACAGTGCTGCGCATGTTGGCGACTAGCAATCAGGCGGTTAAAACTGTTGAAAGCGAAAGATGTTGCAAGCATTAAATAGACATTTCAATCGTCCGTGAGCTGTTCACACAAAGTGAGAACGAAAGGCGCTAGTTTAATCGTTATTATGTTGTTTATCAGTTTCTTTGGTCAGGATGCTACTAGGGGTTCCCGGCTTTACTACTAGGAAAAAGAAGCTACTACGGGCTCCTGGCATCGCTACTGGGAGCAAGGACGCCACCAGGGGCTCCTGGCCTCACTAGTGGGAGCAAGTAGCTCCTAGTAACAAGAAACTACTAGGGGCTCCTGAGCGTCGCAGCCACAGCAGTGAACTACTCGTTATAACATGTTTTTTTCACTCCAAGGACGCTACTAGGGGCTCCTGGCATCGCTACTAGGGGCTCCTGGCCTTACTACTAGGAACACAAAGTGAGAACGAAAGCCACTAGTTTTATTCGTTTTTATTTGGTTTCGTTTTTTTTGGTCGCTGCGCTCGCTTTGAGGATCCACCCTACCGCGGAGCGTCCACCATCGCCACTTGCCCGGAGGGCAACATCAACACGTCTCAAGTGTTGCCGGGCCGCCCAGTGTCCCACTCCACAACGACGCTATTTCAGCTTAGGATTCACTTGTTTTTCAGTGTGAAATGCTGTGACCTGTGCTTGGGCTGTCTGAAAAATATTTCGACAGCTCTCCACATGTGGACACCTCTTGTAGTTTTCTTGAGATGTCTCCATTTCTCTAATACTTTTTGGCACTCGTCTCCAGAAGTCTTGACTTTCTGGCACTTTTGAAGGTGCTGTAAACAACGTTTTAGCGCCACTGGGCTCTCACCTTTTGTTTGTTTCTAGCAAGGCACCTTGCTACTAGTCATAAGGCACCTTGTTACTAGTAGCGATGCACTTGTTACTAGTAGCTTCTTGTTCCTAGTAGTAAGGCCAGGAACCCCTAGTAGCGTCCTTGCTCCTAGTAGTGCCACGGGATCACTTGAAAGATCTTCGAAGTGCCTTTCCAGAGAGCCAGCTGGTGACCATTTTGTGGTTAAGTCCTGAAAGTGGACTGAGATGGTAGCGTGTTTTCATCTGAACGTTTTGTTTGTACATTGCTTCTAGGTTGCAGGACGTCATTGCTTTTAGGTTGGAGGCCATTGCTTTTAGGTTGGACGCCATTGCTTCTAGGTTGCAGGCCATTGCTTTTAGGTTAGAGGCCTTTGCTTCTAGGTTGCAGGCCATTGCTTCTGAGTTAACGCCATTGCTTCTAGGTTGGACGCCATTGCTTCTAGGTTGGAGGCCTTTGCTTCTAGGTTGGAGGCCATTGCTATTGATCTCGGTCCTGGGTCAAAAGAGATCTCTCGAATCTTTTCACTTTTGATTCACGTGCCCACTGTGATCTCACTTTGGCATCTTCCGTGGCCGTTTGAGGACCTGGACACGGCCAAAATGTGAGCTGACGAATTGTGGCAAGCTTGACAAGCTGTGTTTGTGGCGAACGAGCTGCCAGAGTTCGACAGAAAGCTGTGCTGGCGTTCAATTCAAGTCATGCGTGAAACTGAGGCATCCAACGCGTGGACATCCCTGATGGCTATGTGAAGGAAAGAGTTCAGACAGTTCTGCTGTTGTGCTTTTTTTGACTACATCATTCTGCTTTGTCATTTTTGTACAGATTCCAAGACAATTGTGTAACAGCTCTTTTTTTGCGTCCCTAACTAAACGCACCTTCATGGATATTTGGCTACGGCCCTGTCAGGACAGCGTACAGAAGTGGATTTGCGCACCTGGGTACATTGGCACACCCAACGTGGAGTGCAAAATCAATGTGACCACGGACGACTGTGAGGCGAAAGATGTTTGTGTTGAAGGACTGAGAGTAAGGATGCTCCTAGTAGTACGGCCAGGAGCCCCTAGTAGCTAAGAGGACTGATGACAAAAACAAAAACGACGCAGAATTTGTTGGACTCATCCTGTCGAACGCTTCATATGAGGCGTATTGCTTGTATGAAGGCTGCTTTCCGGAGGTCAATTGCCACTTGTCCTTCGTACCAAAAAAGCAGCATCCTTCCTCCTAGTAGCAATGCCCTTTGTTCCTAGTAGCTTCTTGTTCCTAGTAAGGCCAGGAGCCGCTTGTAAAAAGGCAAAAGCAGACATTGCTATTGTGTTTTCATAGCGTTTTCTCTTCTCCGGACGGAGTAAGGTACAGTGCCAGCTGTGGATGCCTGTCGTTTGAATTTCACCGAGTGCCATGGGATCCTGTCACAGCCCTAGAGAAAGGGTTCTCCGTAAAGAACAGCTACCACCTTCAACTGTTCAACTATAATCTTCATCATCATCATCATCAACATAGATGGATAGTCTCATCACTGTCATCGTCATCATCATCATCATCATCATCATATTATGAAGTTGCAGAGATGCAGGTGGTTGAAAGGATTGCCAAGCGTTATCATCATCAAGTGCGTGGAGGAAGGGGAAGCACCAGTTTTATCGCATCTACATAGATACATGATACAGGTTTCTGGATTCAGGTACTGAGACACAGGTGTGGAAATACAGGTGTGCAGACACACATGTGTTGAGATACAGGTGTTGAATGGTGTTGAGATATAGGTGAAGACACCTACAAAATTCACCTACACAACTGCAACTTCGACGTCTTTATAAATACTCTTAAGGCGGCGGGGCGGCCCGGCCGATGCTCACGAAATGCGACGACCCTCTGCGGGAACCACACGCGTCGAGCGCTCAAACCTGAGGTGAAATGCGAGTTCTGTTGCGCTTGGGAGACCTCTCCACAGTATTTGACTGTCGTCAACATTGAAGGTGGAAGTGGCCAAATTTATATAACAACGAAGGTGGAGGTTGCCAACGTGCGCGACTGACTGCCGTCGAAATGTAAAGTTTGTCGTACAGGAAGCAGCTTTGGGAGGTGTGGCCTGACAGCTGCTAACTTTGTAGTACGAATGTAGTGCGGCCAGCAGCTTCTGGGAGCTGTGGCCTCAGAACTGGCCAAGTTGTAGTGCAAACGCAGTCTGGGAATTTTGTAGTGCCAACGCAGTGCAGGGACCAGTTTCTGAGAGGTGCAGCCTTAGAATTGGCAACTTTTTAGGACGGGAAGCAGCTTCCAAGAGGCTTGGTGTTACATTGCTGTATCGAAATAATGTTTGCGCGGCATCGGTGGAAAGCCCGTTTGCTTGGCTCCGTGCTGGGGATAACACGGTGTAAGTGCCTATAGGGGCCAAAGGGCCGTGATTATCACGATTATCACCATCAGCCTCATCAACATCATGTTTGTCAATGCTCGTCCTCATTATTGCGTTCTGTCATCTCCCGCTGTGTTTTCGGGTCACCCTGTCGTTTAGTTGTTCTCTACTTGTTGAATTGGTTTGTTTTTGTCGTTTTCAAAGTTGCTTCGCAGACGAACCCGCGGTTGAACCTCACGTCCACACCGAGGCCAAATCGCAGCTGCAGAGTCACCTGTGCCAGCGCCCCAAATTTGGATGTTCACTTAAAGCCGTCTCATTCAAACCAGGTTCTTCAAGGAAGGCGGAAAAATGTGTTTTTGATGTAGCAGTGTCCTTTTTGGCTAAGATACACTTGTCTGTTGATAATTAGCAGCTACTTTTCTTAGCCATAAGGGTTCTTGTTGGCGAGCGTGCGCAAACATCCTGGCCAGCTGCCGGCCGGGCCGAAAGAGGAATGGAAACTATCCGAATCGCTGCCCCTCCTAGGCGTCAACTGGGGGGTCGGCGGATTTAAGTTGGAGAAACTGATGCTGTGAGGCCTTTCCATACCTTGGTCAAGCCAGCCAAGCCTGGTGCGTCATGCTTGGAACTCAGAGAGACATGGTGAGACTGTAGGACACCAAACTGAGACGTCGTGTCATTGTGTGCGACAGACTCCGGACGCGGTGAGGATGGGCAATGCTCCGCGCCTCAACTGGACTGAACCCAACTGCCAATGTCGGGGTGCCCAGAGGAAGCAAGGATGGACCCGAACGGAGCTACTATAGGGCATCGCTACGAACGGAACAAGAAGCTACTAGGAACAAGTGCATCGCTTCTAGTAACAAGTGCCTTACTAGTAACAAGAAGCAAGTGCATCGCTTCTAGTAACAAGTGCCTTACTAGTAACAAGAAGCTACTAGTAACAAGTGCATCGCTTCTAGTAACAAGTGCCTCACTAGTAGTAACAAGCAGCTACTAGGAACAAGTGCGTCGCTTCTAGTAACAAGTGCCTTACTAGTAGTAACAAGAAGCTAGTAGGAACAAGTGCATCGCTTCTAGTAACAAGTGCCTTACTAGTAGTAACAAGAAGCTGCCAGGAACAAGTGCATCGCTTCTAGAAACAAGTGCCTTACTAGTACTAACAAGAAGCTACTAGGAACAAGTGCATCGCTTCTAGAAACAAGTGCCTTACTACTAACAAGTGCATCGTTTCTAGTAACAAGTGCCTTACTAGTAACAAGAAGCTACTAGGAACAAGTGCATCGCTTCTAGTAACAAGTGCCTCACTAGTAGTAACAAGAAGCTGCCAGGAACAAGTGCATCGCTTCTAGTAACAAGTGCCTTACTACTAACAAGAAGCTACTAGGAACAAGTGCATCGCTTCTAGTAACAAGTGCCTTACTAGTGACAAGAAGCTACTAGGAACAAGAAAGTAATTAGAATTAAAAGTAATTAAGTTTAGTAATTTGAATAGTTAAAGTGACTAGTAACAAAGGGCATGGAAGGACGGACCCGAACGGAGCTACTATAAGGCATCGCTACGAACGGAACAAGAAGCTACTGGCAACAAAGGGCATTCCTACTAGGAGCAAGGACGCTACGAACGGGGCTCCTGGCCCTAGTAACGCCTGGAGGTGAAAGAATCAAGTTGGAACTTTGGCCTTGTTTGGCACGTGAAAGAGAAGATGCAGAAAAGGACAACCAGACAAGTGGTTTTGAGAATATGAAACAAAACACAAGTAACAAGGAAAGCACACCAGTTGCAAGGTTGTGTTTTTCACGCAGGTCTAGCCAAACATCTTCCAGCGCCTTACTGCATGGATGGCTTCACAAACGAGAAAGAACGACAGACTGCTCTGATAAGATAACAGGTGATTGTAGGGCCCAACCTTCCTTTGGTGAACTCAGTCTTTGGTCCCATGTGCCTTTTATCTGTCGGTTCTTGGGGTCCCTTGGCAATGCCTGATGAGAATAGGCGGCTAATAGTTGAACCACGTGGATATGTCCACCACTTTATAACGTTCATCAGGCATGAGATCTACCATGATCTACCACCTGCACACTATCATTAAGAACAAAACCGCACTGTTTGCGTCAAATGTTGACGTGTTGAATTGTTTTCTGTTTTCCATAATGTTCAAATGATTTCTTCATCGAACTTGTTTTCCCGAGGCCCAGAAGTCCCAGCGTCTGCCGGGTGCGCAGATAGGCGGAAGAAAAAAGATAGAGAAAGGGAAGAAAGTTTTACGAAAGAGAGAGAGGGGGAGAGAAAAGCCAACAAACTTGCGATGGCCTCCAACCTAAAATCGATGGCCACTTGCGCGATGGTCTCCAACCTGAAACTGATGGCCTCCAACTTAAGAGCATCCAATCTACTTGCGATGGTCTCCAATCTACTTGCGATGGTCTCCAA